AAAAACTCAAAGGTAAATATGCTCATTAGGAAGAGTAACACTTTATTTTCAAAGAAGTACAATTATTTTTCTGAATTTGCCCAAAAGCATTCCTTGTTTTCTTTCCAAGAATATTCATCCTCATAAATCTCCTGTAATATAAACAAAGAATGGGAAATGTTGTGAGTCTGCTACATACAGCTACAAGCCAGGCCAAACTGAATAGCCATCTCACTATCATTTACTGATCACATCAGGACTGCACAGCACTTGGCTGGCAAGCACAAGAGAGGGCAGCACGCTTAGAACATATGGACTTGGCTGAACCCCAGGCTGATCCCCACTGAATTTAAAAGGGCCCACCTAAGCTGAAGTCAATTCAACACAGAGATCTAGAAGAAATTATATAATAGCTGTAGAGTACACAGCATTCATGCTGCTATATTAACCTACTGTACCGTTGTTTTAAGACAAAAATTTAGATGTAACAAAATGTCAATATTAAAATAAAAATTACATTAATACACTAAATACACTACTGATAGATCTTAAGGACAGACTGGATTACCAGCAGCAGTCCAGTCCTAAGCAGCAAATTCTGAGTCCCTGCTTATTTATTCTGAGAGAACTTCCATCTCCTCAGGAGGTATCAAAAAAGTGAAGTAATGCGTGGAATATCACTGTTAACCACATACCAAGTTCTGCCAGGGAGAGGAGGCAGAGATAATGCTCATTACTCGCATGAAACACTGAATTTATACAATGAGGCCCTTTCTAGACCTGGGCTTCTCCACACACTGTTGTGTGCCTATAAAGCTTTGGGACTTCTGCTCATTGTGTGCTGTTGCTTAGTGCTTTTTGCTTTCTCATGGCCACAGCAATGAGGGGCAAACAGACAGGCAAGAAATGCTCCTGTTACTTCCAAACTGCAATGCTGTCCAAAGCAAAGCTGATTCAAATTCTTCCATAAGCCTGTGCAGAACTGAGTTTTACTACTCAAAAGAGGACAGCTCAGGCCTCCTTCGCTTTCACCATAGGACGGTTTCAAAATAAAGAGGAGCTAGATGGTACAGGTCCAGGAGAACCTTCCAGATGCTCTACCTGCCACAAATGGGCCTGGCTGCAATAGAGGAAACTCACTGGTGCTAAACACTGACAACCCATCAGGAGCAGCTGCTACAGCCTGGAATGCTGCTAAGGCAGCCCAGATGTCTAAGACTAGCACAGGCCTAAATTCAATTTTGTCCCTAAACATACCTTTTTCCATATAGGAACAGATGCTTTTAAGGTATTGATGCAGTACATCACTGCTTCAAGGGATTCTGCTCTGTGCGGAGAGGAGACTGCAATAATTACACTTGCTTCAGTTATTGGAACCACACTAGGGAGAGAAGAGGAACAACAGCAGCTTTAGCTAACACTTAACATCAAGAGCACCCAAAAGTTGTAGCCATGTCACGTCAGTATTCTGGCCACATGCTCTCCTGACTCATTCATACTGAGCAAGTGTCAAACCACATCCAAAAGATTATACACTTTTTAAAAGAAAGAAAACCATAACCAAAATCAGTACCAGATGTTAGAATTCCACACTCTAGAATAAATAAACCCACCAGACAGAGGCTTTTTTCTTCTATTCTTTCTTTTTTTAAAATTAAGCCTATGGAATTAAGAGGGGGAAATTGTTAACTTGTAACAATGCATAGGAAACTCATTGGAAGCTGGCTTAATAATGAACAATAACAAATTAGAACAGCCAGTTCTTACCTAAAAACCTAAGAAATCATCTCAATTTGCATAAGAATTTGTAAAAGAAGAAATTAATTGCCTCACACTATGCAGATTTTGTAATGAAACCAAATTTTTGATGAATTCTGATTTTAGATTCTCAAGTTTCCTACTTGGTGTGCTGTGTTAAACTTAAGAGAAGCACAAGGTTCTGTGTTTCTCCTTGCAGTTGTAGCACTCCCAAAATCTGTCCCCCAGTCTTCCCTCTACAGTCAGACTCCTTCAGCCCAGTCTATAGGAAGAAATCTCAGCCTAAATGCTTTGACCTGCCCTCATGACAGCCACCCCCTCTGCTGACTATAGAGGAAATCTAGGGAAACCACCCCTCAGGCCTTTTATCTTAGTTACTCTTTACAATCACATCCCAAATTCCTTCAGGATTTCTGCAAATCCTGCTAGTTTTAGCAAGAAATCTTCTCTGAACTGGGAGGGCCTAAGAGTATGTCAGACACTAGTATTACACAATTTGAATCAAAAGGAAAATGCTTATCCAAGACTCAAGGAACAGGAGGCTCTCTCAGAAGCATGGCTGGCAATTACCATGCCCCACAGCCTTAGCTTCCAGACTTTTTGTAGCATAAATAGACTAAAATCTGACAATAAGAACATTCTGCAGCCCCTCAACAGGAGAGAGAAGAGAAAAAGAAAATGCTGCCAACTTCACACCTTTAAAAAATAAAGAACAAAATAAACTAACAGCCTCCCCTTCCCTGGAGTGAAATATCTCCCCACTTTCAAAATATCACATCAGCATGAAAGATCTTTCCAGGCTAAGTGTGGACTCCAGTAAATCCTACCAATAAACACATTTTTGAAAACAAAATTTTTGAAACTTAGCTCCAGAGCAAGAGCTTGATCCTGCAGCCAGCTTTGCTGCACTATGGTTTCTAAACACTCTTGCGGGTTCTGCAACTATGTAAGCACAGCCATGCAGCAGACAAGAACTGATATTCCAGCTGCAGAAGAATGGGGTCTGGACATACGTACCCAAGTCTGTGGTGCACTGCAATATGTTTGACTGAAGGCCATTTCTGTCTAACATCTCTGCAGATTTTCCTTATTTCAGTCTCTGCCATTGAAGTATATGCTTCATATTCTAAGTGAATCACTTTTTTTCCTTCAAAATTATTTCTTGTAGTACCTAAACAAAAATGATTTATCAGCTAAAAGCAGTGGGCAAATGAATACATATTGTATCTTTATAATACACATTATATACTACATTAATACAGAGTAAAAGCCGAGGATCTCTTGCTATGGTCGAGGTCAGCACTGTGCAAATATAAACAACTTCCCTAATCATGGCTGCATAATGAGATTATTTGAACAAGATAAATCTTTACTATAAAAGGGAGAATTTAGTTTACACATTACACAGATCTGCAGCCCACAATACCCAAGGTTGGGACATCTTCTGTGGTAACTGGTAAGGTTATATAAGGTTATTATGGCATTTGCCCATATAATTTTTAAATTCCCAGTATTTAGGAGCCTAGTAGCACTAAGGTTTAAACACAAAGCAGTTTCATATGTGTGCCACGTACATTAAGCACTATACAGAGCTATCAGCCTGACCTTCACCAGCTCACTGGTAGAATAGTACTCCACTTTCAACTAAGACCTGAGTTACAGAACTTCACATACAGGTGTGGACATGTGGTTGTCACAGCCACAGTACTCCATTTCCCACCCTGAACAAGTTGTATCCCAAGGGACAGGGGAACAACTCCCAGGCAGTTCTCTACTCCAGAGCTACTGTTCTGTTTAGTCCTATGATAGCCATATCAGCCAGAAAGCTCCACACCACTTTAGCCCATGGTAGCTGTTTAAGAGCTGCCATGGTCTTGCTCTACTAATTCAGAACCTGTTTTCTAAACATAATGGACTCAGACCCGGAACTGATTTATTTGAGAACTACAAGTCTGGGATGTGGACAACCTAAGTTACATTTATTAGACTAGTAACATAACTAGTGACTTAGCTCACAGATATTAAACTCACCAATGAACAGAGACACTGCCCCACAGTATGGTGAAACAACCAGCTCTGACACTTCATCTACAGAGAGCTTTTCAGACTTGAGCTTGATAAAATCTTTTGGCACATCTTCGTTTTCTTCCATATCACAATAGAAAAACTGAAACCAAACAGACTCTGTTGTTGTTCCTGAAGATACTATCATCAGCCAACTGCTTTTTATCCAGTGCTCATGCCCCAATTTATGCACAACACAAGGCACTATCTGTTTGCCCAAGAGACTAGTCTACATGTGAAATTCACTTCTCAGCAGCCTCACTGAGACAATATTAACTGCAAATAACAAGCAATTACTTGGTTTTATTGCATACATATTTCTTTCTGATAGGAAAGTCTAGTACAGTGGGATAAAACTATAATTAGTCCAAGGCCCTGGTTCAACAGTACATTCAACCAGCACAGACCACTGTGTAGTGCTAGTAAATCTGTGGTGATATTGTCAGTCCCTCCTATTTATCTCATCAAATCAAACAGTTTAAAACAAAGACTTCTGATAAACATGGATTAGAGTTCTAATCCTTAAGTTGAGTATGCTCTCCAGGACATTTAGGTACTCATACTATGAGTCTGTTACAGCCACACAGAAGACACTTCTAACTTACCTGAGTAGAAGCCAGTCATTAGATCACCTAGGAATGAGAAGTAATTTGATCAGCAGCAATGGAACAAGCTGCAGTGAACAGATGGACTGGCACTTCAAAGTGGGCAAAGAAATGAAGCTATTCTAAGGACACCTTTTTAACAGCCACAAACCAACAAAATTTCTAAGCAGCAGTCAATTATTTTTACTTTATTATCTTTTCTGTTTAAAAGCAGCAGGAAATTTTTCATTATTATCTTGTTTAAGCAAGCTAAGTTTCCACTGGTAGGAAGAAACAACCAGGAAAGAGTAACAAGACCTAAAACCCAGATTCAAAGCAATGCCTGACCTCCCTGGCAAATGTCTTCCATTTACTGCATACAAGTTAATCATTTACTAGTACACTGGCTTATAGCTTCTGCTCAGCACCACTGCACTCACCAGACGGAAACACAAGTTGGGTTTTCTCAAAAGAGTACTGGGGTGGAGGGAGAGAATTGCAATCACATCTTCAGACCTAAACAAGAAAAGGTTCCTGTAACATCACACAGAATTCATGAGGTATTTTAGCACAACATTACACTCCACAGAAAACTAGGCAGTAAGTGATACCTACCTAACAGAACCTGGGCAGGTTCAGCCTCCACTAATTGGTGGGATGATGGCAACCTCGTCTCCAGGCTGCAGGACCAGGAGCTGATCTCCAAGAAGCACGTACTCCTGCCGAACAGCAAACACCACTTGATCCCGGATGACAGCAAGCCTGAGGGGGATTGGAAAGAGCACAAATAGGTTTCTAGACAATGTCTGCGTCTAATCATGAGATTTCATTAAACAGCAAACTGGTGCCCAGTATTGGGCAGCTGAGGTAAAAACCATGGAGACTTACACAACTTCACTTCCAAGACACTGTCAAAAATACAACAAACACACACCTCCTAATCTTGGATTTTCTTGTAATGGCTAAAAAGAAATTAGATCAGTATAATTTTCAGAAATCAGGGATTGGATTTGTCATAGGCCTATGTTAGAACAAAACCAATCCATACCAGACCTACTTCAGAAGCTTACAATAAGAAAGTTGGTAACTCAAGAGGCAGCAACTATCCAATTTGGGATTAGAAGGAAATACTGTCTTGATGCAGTCTGGCAGGACTGGAGCAATTTTCTTATGCATCAAGAAGCATTGTGGTATGTGTTCATAAGATCTCATGAAGATTCAGTAGTCAGAGAGTTGCTCTTGTTGTGCTGCTCAGACTTTGTGAGACTTTGGGTCTCTTGTACTTACAGGTCTGAAACCTGCTATTGATAAGGAATAGCAATAGCACAGAACTAAGAGAGCAAATGTGATGTGTCTTCTGGCAGATCTTCTACATATTTTTTATGTGAGATATTGCTGTGAGAGTCCATGCCTCTGGATATCATGAGGCAGGGAATCATTTCTATGACTAAGTACAATTACATAGCAAGCATGAGGGCTATAGCAGTAAGACAGGAGAAAAAAGAATTGCATTTTAATTCAGATGTTTTGCGGAGAAAAGCAGAGAACTTTACAACTTTGTCAAAGTTGTAAAGTTGGTATGTTTATTACAGCGCTGGACGCATGTGGAGATCGCTCTTTTCAAAAAAGGCATGCGTACTTTTGAGAACTTCAGGTCTCTTTTTATCTCTTTCTTAAATACATATGCATACAGTTTCATAATAAGTTCATACATATTCATTTTTATGGCTTTCGTTTGACTTTTACTACTAGTTCTTTTTTATCAGAAAAAAATTTGAGGTCAGGTTGACTTGCCTTTACAGCAGGCTCTGACTCCTTCTATCATCTTTTGTCTCTTTCTCTTTATTTCTGTCTTTCACTGAAGTAACTTCACTGAGCTTAGGCTTTGCAGTCTGGCTAAATAACTATGGTTTCTAACTACAGACTTAACTTAAAAATGTACATTTCACTTAAATTAAAATGGATTTCTATCTTGGAAAATTTTCACTTTGCTTCACAGATGACACAGGTATGATAACAGTTCTTCTTTGAGACTACAAAATCTGGCATAACCAGCTCAGCTGTATTGCCTAGAAACAAGTAAGCAGACCAAAAGAGTACAAGTAAAAATCATCTTGTTTCCTACCAGCTAGATAGATAAAAGTAGTCAAGGCACAGGCTGAGCAAAACACAGTAGCACTGATTCAGAGAACAGACTGAAGGGAGGGATTATATGAAAGCAAAGCAAGCCACTAAAGAACTGTGCACTACCATGAAACTGAAGTGCCCATTAGAAGAGCAGGCTCTAATTAAAGTCCCTTGCAAGCTAATTAGTTAGGGAAAATGTGTCGAACAGAAAAGCACAGTCATGTACGCTCAAACTGTAATTTGAATATCCATTAGCAATGTGAATAGAAGTCTGTGGTCAATGCCCTACAATTACATTGAGTTTTTCCAGAAAATTCTACTGCCCCAAGTCATCATTCATAAAAGGACAAAGTTGACAAATTACAGCAAAATGACCAACAGTGCTGCTGCTGCTTCTGACACAGACGAAAAGGCTGCAAAGTAAAATATATGCATTCCCTACTGCCTCTAGCACCCAAACACACTTTATTTCAATTCTCTGTGAGGAAAAGGTCCCTGGACCAGTGTTTTGTGAAGAGTTTCTCACTTGGAAACAGATACCAATGTTAAACAGTTCATTTTTTTTTCACAGTGTTTGAGAGGATTTTACTAAAGAAAGACTTGGACATCTAAGTCCAAAGTTATGGTAAGTCCAGAGCACTAAGCACTAAATCCTGAGGACCACAACCTCTTTTATAATTTCCCCTTTTTTTTACCCCCTTCTATCTCTCCAAAATGGTGTCCCACCTTTGTCCATCAGACTCATTCTTGACAGGACTGAGCACCTTCCCTCAACTTTAAACACAGGAGACATTTCTATTAACACCCCCAAGAGCACCAATGCTGCTGAGACCCTTACAGCATACACAGAACTTTCTCAGGACCAGACTCCTTAAGAAATGCAAACAGCAGTGTTTCAGAGCATTGAAGTGGCTGACCATAATTGCTGTGTCAGGCTGAGTGGCTGGAAGCCTCTGGGGGCTTCAGTTCCCTTCCTGACCTGGCTTGCAGAGTGTGCCATAGGCTCAGACCAATGTCTCACAGCACAGTTAATCACAGAATCAATTAAGTTTGAAAAGCACTCTGTGACCATGGCACAAAGTCCAATCTTCCCTTAAAAAACTTCAAGGACAGTGACTCCACCATGTCCCTGGGTAGTTCATTCCAATATCTTTGCATCCTTTCAATGAAGAATTTCTTCCTAATGTCTAACCTAAGCAATTGGAAATACCCACATATTATAATTTATTTCTTATTTATTGTCCTGACCCTGCATGATCTCTCCTTACAACATCTCACCTTCTCCACAGACCAATAACATGGTAGTTTTCAGGTTACCATACCACAGTCCTCCCGGACAATGGACCATGTGTACTCTCAGGCCCAGATTTGGGTACCTCTCCTGCACCTGGGCCTTCCTTGTGTATACAAAAAGCTACAACACTTCCAACTGTACAAAACATTTAGTGTTTAGGGTTACCAAAAGAAGGTAACACCATTGGTTTTGTGCTGTTGAAGTACTGCTATGTGTTCCAGTCCTATGCTAAATACCGAATTTGCATTACAAAAAAAAATTTTACAAATCCACGTTTCTTTGTGCCTCAAGTGTACCTCAAGGGGAACTTGCTGCATACCTGGGGTGGACCTTGACGATCTCCTCCCAGAGCTGCAGAGAGGTGATCTCCCGTGGCACCGAGAGGGTCTCGCAGCGCAGCCCCGCCAGCTCCGCGCTCCTGGCGAAATACAGCACCGAGACCTGCCCGGGGAACAGACAGCGCTCAGGGCCGCGGGGCCTACCCAGAACACCGCTCCCAAAATACCAGCACACGACCAGAACCAGAGCGCCAAGATCTCGATGCCGATCGGCTCAGCCGCGTCCCTCCTGTCCCGGCTGTCAGGACAGGGTGGGGAAGGAGGAGAGGGCGGCGGGCGGTGAGTGACCGCGGATCCGCGTCCGCCGCCCAGGCCGCTCCCGCTGCCCATCGGGGCCAGGGGCAGCGGGAGCCCTGCCGCCCTGCCAGGCACCGGCCGAGCCTCCGGCCGGACCGGCCCCGGGGTCGCCGGCTGGTGGCACCTACCTGGCAGCGCATGGAGCCGCCGTCCCGGGGCGAGCAGCCCTCCGCCGCGGGCCCACGGCGGCGCCTGCGCCGGGGCGAGAGGCGCCGGGCCCGGACCGCCCCCTGCGGCCTGGCCGGGAGCGCCGCGGGCCCGCTCCCCCTGTCGGGCCGGGCACCGCCGGCTCCTTCCCCTCACGGGTGGTGGCGAAGGCGGGAGATGGCGGGGCTTTGCCCAAAAACTGAGAGTACAGTGTTGAGGACGGCACTTTACAAGCCGGATTTTCAAGGGGACTCGCAACCCCGCACGCACCGGGATTGCAGATGTTCGCAAACATTACGCGTCCGCAGCCTGACGTGTTAAACATGTACTAAATGCGCAGGACAGGTAGAGTTGGCGTGTAAAAGCCACGGATCCGTTTCAGTGCTGACACAGGATTTCAGGGTTAGGGCCTGTTTCACCTCTGCCTGCAGTAACTGAGCAGGGTGGGAGAGCGCTGGCTCTCACCGGGGAGTGGAGAGTGACACGGGGTGTGTAGAAAGTGCTGCCGAGAGACCCACAGCAGTTGTTCCACACGGCATAACTGTGTGCCAAAAGTTCTCCTTGTGGGTGGCCAGGGTTATTTCTGTAGTGTTTGTCTGGTGACACTCGTAACCTCACAGCAGTAATGGAGGAGCTCCTCCAGGCAGACAAACCAGGGGTAAGTCCACAGCCATTAGCAGTGTGGAGAAAATCATTCTGCCAACGCCCAGGGTCCACAATGAGACAGAGAAGTCCTGCAATAACAAACTCTGCTGAAAACTAGGGAGATCCCACTGGGGCATAACCATCTAGGGTCTCTCCAGTTTTTAGCAGACACAGCCTCCATTTATTCTAAGCACACTCCTGCTTTTGGAGGGTGAGGTACTAGGAAAATACAACCTTTAAGAGATCCGCATACTCTACATATCTCCCCTCCAGCATGTACCCCCACACCCATTCTTCCAGAACCTGATTGGTTCTTTCACGTTATCTAGTTGTTTGTAAAGGCATGGACACCTATTTCTCCTACCATCAGTGCCATAGAGTTTATGGGCAGTAATTGTGATTTGCGCTGGTGGTCCTTAAATTGTTAAGGCTGGAAAAGACCTCTAAGATCATTGAGTCCAGTTGTTACCCCAGCACCACTGTGTTCACCACTAGTCCATATCCCTGAGTGCCATACCCACAGGTTTTTTTAACCCTTCTGGGGCCAGTGATTCTACCACTTTCCTAAGCAGCCTGTTCCAATGCCTGATGACCTTTTCAGTGAATTGCTCTTCATATGAAAACTAAATCTCCCCTGGTGCAACTTGAGGCTGTCTGCTCTTGTTCTGTTGCTGGTTACTTGGGAGAATAGACTGACACCACCTGACCACAGCTTCCTTCCAGGCAGTTGCAGAGAGTGATAAGGTCCCCCTTGAGCCTCCTTTTCTCCAGGACAAACACCCCCAGCTCCCTCAGCTGCTCCTCACAGCACTTGTGCTCCAGACTCATCACCAGCTCTGTTGCCCTTCTCTGGACAAGAACATCAGTCCTTCCTGGATGCAACACTGTTAGTAAAAAAAAGAAGAAAAAAAAAAAACAAAAAACAAAAAACCCCCACCCATACAAACAAACAAAAACCCCCAAGAAACCACCAACAACAAAAAACCTAAGAAACTCAAAGAACTAAAATGATGTCTGAGAAAGGAAGCAGACTTTTCTGCGTAATAATTCTTGCCTCTGAGTTACAAAAACAATGAAAGTTAAAGTAATTACGTTTTCCAAAAAGTGTGTGATAGAAATACAATCATTTCTGCAGAGCAATTGTATTGCACCAGTTATTTGGTACATTGTGTCTTAATCCTCTGCTGCGAGGAACAAATAAGTTACTTTTTAAAACTGTGTTCTTTTGTGAATGATTAACTAGTGTTACAAATTGAACTCTCCTAAACACAGCATGTGTCAAGAGAACAAAATAATTGCTTTCTTTTTTTCTGTGGGCTAAGTAATTTTGGATCTATACATCTTAGATGGAATAGATCACTTTGACATGGTGTGTGTGACCCAGCCAGTAGCTAGCAAGTGGCTGGCACATTTTTCCCAAGCAAAAGGTGTACCATAATAGGTGTTCTTAGAGGGAAGTGGAGGAGTACTGGCCTCAGCTGGAGAAAATTAGCCTCTCAGCCCAGAAAACGGTGAGCTTTGAAGGATTTATCTGTACATTTAGGGTTAAGACAACTATGGAATAAGGAGAGATGGGTTACTGACAGTGAATTTCTAGATTTTCTTTCTTTGATGTTGAAGAAATAACTCACCTAAACCAATTCTTGAGTATTTTCAAAGGATGGATCAGTCTCCAGCTCTGCATTGTAATGATTTAGTTAAAGGCAGATTATGTGCCTAGGAAGCAGAGGAATAGTGTATGATTTGTGACTCTTATGGTCCCTTATCTATGTTCTTGAACAGCTAAGAAGCAGTTAAAAGTTCTTAATCAAAACCAGGAATTAAGATGAGTTGTAGTATTAGTGGCTAAAACAAATTTCTCCCTAAAAACCTCTTTATTCTGGAAGTCTTATCTTCCAGGAACATCAGCCTCAGCAAGAGGTGGGACAACTACACTGCTTGGTTTGCAAGAATGAGTTTTATCCAGATTGATCTTGTTTGATTGTTTGGTTCTTTGGCTTGTTTGGTGTTTTGGGGGGGACAGTATAGATACATACCTAAAATTCAATAAGAGATAATTTTATAGCTCTGGAGGAGATATGCTAGCTCTGTAGAGACCAGGATTCAAAACTATCCATTATTATATAGACTAGGTCTATATCATATTCCCTTAAAATATTTCCTGTTCTGTGTCCTTTTGTCAGGCACCATTTTCTTCTTGGACCTTTTGGGTTGGAATATGGATATCTGCAATTTATAATATCTTGTTCTGTTACTTCTTGAGTCTATTATTTTCAATTAAATCTTGTCCTAAGTAAAGGGGCCTTTGCTGTAGCAGAAAGGTGTGTATGTATTCTCTCATGCCAATATGTACATTAGCCAGAATGTAGTGTATGTACATTTTCAGAATTTATTTCTTTCAGATGTCTTCAGTTTCAAAAAAGTTATGTTATGATGTCCTCCAAAACAGGTGTTTCTTATTCCACTTCATAACCTTTCTTTGTTTTAACAATGTTTAATACTGAAAATTCAAATTTTCCTGTTTATGTGGGATATCCTTGCACTTCCAAAATAGCAGCTTAAAGAAGTTCAGTTCTAAGGAATATTCTAGATAGGGATGTTTTACCTACTAATTTCTTTTTAACTTACCATCAGGAAACTTTGAACTTTTAGATGTAGCTAGGGTACGCTCAGGCACTCTGCTTACAGTCTAAAGCACTAATTCTGCATGTGATGTTGAATAGAGAGAGCCACAGCAAAGTCAGCAATACTTAAATAAGTGCACTACTCTGTCTGCTAGTCCTAAGTTAATTTTGTAACAACTTAGTACAAGAATTGGTACAAAATATGACTGGATGCACTGGGAAAACCAAAGAGGATTGAACTGGAGACATGTTGTTAATCTTTAAGCCTTTTCACCAATGATTTACCTAATGTTGCTGCAGAAAAAAAAAAGTCTCTCTAGGACTGCACAAGACTGTGATTCTCTAATTTCTAGCAGATTTTCTGTTTCCTTTTGTTTTCATTTTAAACATTTTCTCAGGACTGTTTGGTATAAATCATGAGTTGCTGGTCTGAAGTTCAGATTTATACTTGGGAAATCTTCAGAGAATATTTTTTACTCCAGTTTTGTTGTTGCAAAGAATTTAGGCCATGTTGATGTCAGACTTGAGTGCTTTTTTTTTTTTGAGATGTTGATGCATAAGATGTTATTTAGAAGAACAAAGAAAATTCCTTTACTTCAAGCTTCCTGAAATAACTAGGGAAAAGAAAAATTATCACTCATGACATGGAATAACCCTTCATTACCTCACACACCCTTCATATTCCTTGGACAACCAGCCAAATCTGAATTCATTTTAGTATTACATTTTTGCTACTGAGTTCATTTGAGAAAAACAAAAAAACAAAACAAACAAACAAACAAACAAAACAAAACAAAAAAAACCAACCCCCCCCCCCCAAAAAAAAAGAAAAAAAACCCCAAAACAAAACCAAAGGAAAAGAAGGGAAAAACAAACACCCCAACCCCTCCAAAAAAACCCCAAACCCGAACAACCCCAAAAGTAATTTGGAATAATCTACAAGGATCCAGAAGTCAAGCAGGTACAGGAGAAATGTCACTGTGAATTCCAGTAATTCCACTGAATTCAGGTCTGAATTTGGCATCATACATGTCAACACTGGTAATAATCTGGAAAATATCTTCCTGTTTTGGAAGGAAGGAGAGCTGTTTCTTGAGTTTCCATAGTGGAACATTTGAGGGAAAAACTTGAAAATATGAATCTGTCTGAGACACTGTGACCTCTAGGATTCCTGTGTGTGAGGTATATGTAGCCGTTTGACCAATGTATTTAACATTTCCCTTGGCACTCTTTGAAATTGTCTATTACAAAACAGATGGCGCAGTAGTTACTTTTTGAAGGGCTAGAAGAGCAGGACTACATCTGGAATCAATCTTTAGCTCCCTAAACCAATAGATCACCCAGTTTTAAGAGGGCCTTCTAATATAATTGCATTGCACAAGTACAGAGAAAGAATACACAGCTTTAAGGCAGAGTATAAGCAGTCCGGAACTATAATTCATGGGGACATAAGTCTTTCTGTTCAGCTGTCTCATTTATGGACAAGTTTTTCTACAAGAATTTATTTTTATTGAGCAACAGCAGTAAGTGAAATGTGTAACTTCTTCAATGAGATTTTAAAAATCCACAAATTTTCAGGGTTTGTATAAAGTATTTTTCCTTTTTGTTGGCAACTGCAGTATTCTTAGAGAGATTACTTCTTTCCTTTTTATACTGTCCTTGCCCAAAAAGGTAGCTCGAGGTTGTATTAAACTAGAATGCACACCATCATCATCACACATCTATTAAACTAGAATGCACACACATCATCATTCGAGTAAAGCCAGTTATGGAGTTTTTGATGATTATTAAGTC